CTCTCCTTCAATGCCCTTCCCCCAAATTTTAATGATCAAATTTGGTTTTGCAGTTATTTTAATATGAGACCTTTTTGAAGCTTTCCTAAGAGTGAGCTACTTTGTTAAAAATGTATATTTTTAAAAAGAGTGCATTTTCTTTCTCATAGCCTTTATTTTAATAATATTTAGTAATATTTTAGTCTAAGACTAAAATAAGTGAAAAAAATAAGTCAAGTAAAAATAAATTATTGTGGTGTTTGGATCTATGTTGTTGCACTGAATCTTAAATAAAAGGGAAAGTCTCATTGTATTACTCTGGTTTGTGAACAGAAGAATTAATCTGGTAATAATATGATGAGAAGTCTTAGCTTTGTTGACATCTATGAGAATTTTGTCATTGACTTTTAACACAGCCTGGGTTTCAACCAGAGTATGTTGTCTTTATATAGTTATGGGTGCAAGACAGTAAACCCAGTGGTTCTTAAACTGTGACGTTGGACTTCAGAAAGGAAATATATTTTTTCTAAGTAAACCCAGAGAAAATGAAGAAAAGAAGAATCAGATTGGAAAAATATATTTTATTGTTTCAAATAAGACCTTAATAGGTGCTGATTTTTTTTTTTTTTCCCCCATTGGAGAGAAATCTACTTAACCATACATTAGTTAAAATTCTTTTTGCTGGAAATATGCATTATATCACTTACTGGTTTATCTGAAAGCCCCATTTGTTTGAATGTCCTGAATATACAGATGTCCAAAAATATTTTGGATAAAATTTAGATTCATCGGTTTTTCATAAAGCCTACATAGAATCAGTTTAGCAAGGATAGAATTCAATAGGTTGTCTGCTCATACAAAATGAGGGTTCCCTCTTAATCAGCATAGGGGGAAAAAAGCCCCTTGTCTTATACTGACATACAGATAAAACTCATTAAATATATTGTCTATCATTAAACTGCTGCCAAAAGCAACATGTGCTTAGTGATGAAAACCAACCATGAAGGTGATTAAATGCAGGCAGCACACAGCATGACTGTAGAACACATTTTTATTTTTTTTACACATGGCCATATTGGGCAAACATATAGTGATAGGAACCTACTACAAGGATTGGTTAGTGCAGCCCAGCTGAATAAAACATTGCACACAGTTCCTCTCAGTGCTGAGATTTTTTCCAGCGATGGTGAGTTGCTACACTGAATACATTTTGACTTCCTCTTTACTCCCACAGCTGAGCTGCACCTTTCTCTTCCATTTTTCAATGATTCCTCTTTCTTCAGTCTTAAATGCCTGGCAAACATCGTGAAATAGAGCCCCAAACAGTTACCTGAGAATCCCTCTGTCTCCTCCTCTCAGCCTGTCGCATGATTTGTGTGGCTCTGCCCTCCATGAGGTGGAGCAGGACCAGGTTGCTCTGCATCTCATAAATTTTTGGATGATCTCTGAAGTGTTGGCTGTAGCTGTATTGGTCTGAGGACATAGGCAGACAAGGGTCTTTGGATAAGACTGATTTCTTTTATTAGACTAATTAAAATAGTTGGAAAAATTCTTGTTTGCAAGCTCTCGGGTACAAACACCCTTCTTTCAGGTCTGGAGGATCCCAGGACTATTGACAAGAACACCTGGTTCCTGTCTTGGATGTGAGTCTAGTTAGCACATGGATCCTTCATTGTGGGCATTTGGAGTATACACACAGACTGAGCAGTGATAAGTTGTGGGGTCACCATGGCTTGAAATGCTGTTGACTCAGTTCTTTGGGCTGGGATCCAACAATGTGATAAATCATGAGCTTTTTATCTTTGGACTAATATCATGCATAGCTTGTACCATATATAAATAGGTGCGAAAGTGCTTCTTAAAAGTGTGTTTATCATAGAAAATTAGGGTTGGAAGGGACTTCAGGAGGTCATCTAATCCAACCTGCTGTTCAAAGCAGGACCCCACCCTCAACTACATCATCCCAGCCAAGGCTTTGTCTTAGCTGGGTCTTAAAAACCTCCAGGAATGGAGATTCCATCACCTCTCTGGGTAACCTGTTCCAGAGCTTTATTACCCTCCTAGTGAGAAAGTTCTTCCTAATATCTAACCTAAATTTCCCTTGTTGCAAATGAGACCACCACTCCTTGTTCTGTTATCTGCCACCAGTGAGAACAGTCTAGCTACATCCTCTTTGGAACCAGCCTTCAAGTAGTTGAAAGCTGTTTATGGAGTACCTGTGCTAAAACTTGCAGCAATTTAAAAAAAAAAAAAAAAAAAGATAAACCGCATCTATTCTGGATAAACTAAGTCAATGGACGCCTGTCATAATTTCCCTATGTGTCTGACAGTAAGGAGGAGGGGAAGGGGCTGTTTGGGGGAAGAAGTTTAGGGGGCAGGGGAGGGGGACAGAGGACAAAGGGACTATCTGGCCCCCACCCACAGATTTATTTTCCCTGCTGTAGCAGTAGGAAGAGGACACATTCAAGGCAAACCTTTAATAATTAGATTTGGTACCTGGAAAATTATAACTAATTTATACATTTTCCGTATATATAATCTAATTATTAGGCAGTTGCCTCATATTCAGGGTCCTCTTTATATTCGATTAATGGTGTATTACTCTTCCCTTATTTCTTCATCATGGTACCTCTGGCCTTCTTTTTGGAAGGATTAATATTTCTGTAATATGAAGAATTCTTGTTGGTCTTCTTGAGGTCTGCTTAGGTGTGGACTCAATACCTAGAAAGACCTAATGCCAAGGAAGAACAAGTATTTATTCATGAAGATTGATTATGAAAACATTGTTCAACAGTTTGGTGCCAGTATTAGTAAAGACTTCCACTTGATATCTGGTCAACTTAATGCATTCAACTAAGCACAGCAAAAGTGAACCTAATATTTGTTCTTATTTGTATCATTAGGAAATTTGGGACAGATAGAATAACTGTTTTAATTATTAGAGTATGAAATGTCGTATCTTATGTAACTATAGTATGCAAACCAGTAATTTATACTTACTTCCTCTTCCCTTAGCAGATAACTGCATTCATTCAAGATGAACCATTTGTTTATTTGCATAACTTTTGGGAAAAAACAATAATTTTATGTACATCTTACTGTTTGAGTGGATACTGTTTTTATTTGGATAACATGCTCCAAGACGAGAACGTTTAACTATCATAATGTTGTATTTTTTCACATACACATGCACCTTGTTTTTGGGAAGGGAGAATAAAGAAATGTTTCCCCCCAACAAAGACTGAATCCTGACTGCAGGGGAATCCTGTCTGCATGGATGTATCTGGACTGGCTAAAGGCTGCATTTTTAATCCTTCTACAGCCACTGCCAACTTGGTAGCAAGTTTGGGCTGCTGAGCCAAAAGCTACTGACAATTCAGCTATGGCTTTGAAAGGGTTAAAACTAACTGTGAGCTATAGGTGCCCCGTGCCCCTTTCTCCCTGTCACTGAGGGAAGCAGAGCCTAGGAATCCATTAGTATCCCAGGGTAGCCATTACAGTGTCCCTGTGCTTCAGTTCTAGCACAGAAATCGTCTTCCCTGTTTAAGATCCACACTAATTTTCGAGGGTTTGCATGTGTTGTGCAAGTAAATATAGTACTTGAATTTGGTGAGGAAAGGAGACTTTACCTGTATAATTTATCTCTCTCCCTTTCTGTCTAACAGTTATATATGCCTGAAAGCCAAAACATAACTTAATTGAATAGTTCAACAGTTGCATAATTTAATTTGGTCATCATCATAATGCCAGCATATGAATTTGCTAAAGCACTTGAAGTATTGTAGAACCTTCCATTTTTAATTATAACTAAAACTGATCTGGGGCAAATGCATCATATCATGAGAAATTAAAGACCATGAATCATAGATAACTATTTCTAGGTTTTCATAGATTTAGATATAGGTAGTGAACATAGCTAACAGCAATACAGTCTCTAAGTTTATCATTAAAAGTATTTTGCAAAATAGGGTATTTGAGATAAAGGCATAAGCATATTTAAATTTGAATTGGAGTAACTTTTTTAGTCTTCCAAAAAGCGAGTTTTAGTGGTACATCACTTCACAAGAAAGAGCTTTAATCAATCTTGTCTACCTTAATTTGTGCTTGACTAGATAGAAAATTAGGATGTGCCATACTGAATCAGAAAACTTGTGCATCTATTTGTGACATGTTAAATCTGTTAAGAGACATTTAATCCTTGCCTCAGGAATGTAAAGTAACCCCAAAATGTTATGCAGCTATGGAACATTTTGCACTGAAGAATAAGGAATTTAGTACCTCAAGGGTGATCAGTCACATGAGGATTCTAAAGTTACATTGAAAGAAGAGGATTTGGGGATACCACTTATTGGTTTGTATAAATGTGTATTACCTTATGAAGTAGGGTAAAAATATACATTTGAAGATTTCCAGATACAACTGTTTGCTACAGAGAATCTTTTATATTTGACAATAATTTTAAAAGATGTTTATCAGCTTAATTTGAAGGAAATCTGATTCTATTTTTAAATGATAATTTATAAGTAGTTTCTGATCAGTCATCAGTTCCAAAAGGCTGGTATATATGAATTTTGGGATGAAAACTCAAGCAACTATTTTCCCCTCTGCATACAAGATGAGTACTCAGTGCAGTGTAGCATATTTAACAAATTAATAACAGATGCCTGCATTTAGATTGCTTAAAGCCATAAGGATTAAGAAGTAGATTTAGAGAATTATACATGACAGTATGGTTTTGGTACATTTTGTTTGTCTAATAATAAACATTCATGTAGGCAGTACTTGTTCTTAGTTCCCCCTGTAAGCAAATTATAAGTTGCATTCACTTCTTTTAAATGCCTATAGTATGCTTTTTCATAAAACAACACATCTTATTGTTTTTTACATTATCTAGCAGAACAGGTTTTCTTCTCTGATTTAGAATCGATTGATATGAAGCCTCTTTTCTTCTACTTTATTATAAGTTCTGAAATAGCTTGAAAATGTATAATAGATGTTAATTAGATTTAATTTTTCCCCAGTTGTTACACTGTATGCTACTCTGGGAGGTCCAGCAATAGTACATGGATTAAACGAAACTGAGGTGAACACCATCATTACTAGTAAAGATTTGATGCAAACAAAACTGAAGGTAAGCAATAAATCTGTCAAAGTTTGTGATCCAGTGGTGCTTGATATTTAAAATCTAATGTATGTGTTATTGCCCAATAATATATTAAGTTTCTTGTTGTTTACAGTGCAAGAATTTTATATCTACAGGTTTTTGTCTCCACACTGTAAGAATAGTTAACTGAAAATCAGTGGGACTTAGGTTTAGTCGTTTGTGAAAATGATACTAAACTGGCCAAATCACTGAGGCCTTGTAATACTTAAGTGAAAAAATGCCTGAATACCTTAAAACAGTGGTGCCCAGGATTTTGTCCCTGGGGGCCAGATGAATGGCGTAGGGCTGGTTTGCGGGCTTGATTGGACCCCATGCTCTGGTATCAAGCACCATGCTGCCCCTGTGCACCAGATAGGGCCCCAGGGCCCCATGTGCCCTTTACCTGGCCCCCATGCAGGGATCAGGGCCCTGGGTGCTGCTGCCTGGCCCCGCCCAATCTAGTGCACAAGGCCACAGCCCACAGGGCTCTCCATATACCTGTTGGGAGCCCCGCAGGCTGGATGACCCAGTGTCGAGGGCCCAAACTGGCCTGTGTGCTGGGGGTGGAGGACACCTGCCTTGAAAAATCTGAACCATGATTCCTCTGTTTTCAGTGTCCTGCAAGATCAAAAATGAATGAATTGGGCAGAATATAATAATGTATAAAGTGCATATGCAAGAGTAAATGTGGAGTTTTTTCAGTAGTGTGGATCTTAGAGTAATGCCCATTTTTATTTGAGTCGGTGTCAGAAATTTTCAGAAATTGTAAAAATATTTAATCCAATTTCCAAGTAATGTGAAATGTAGTAGTCTCCTTTCTTATTACAATCAAGATATAACATGGTGCATAGAAGTTGCAAAAATAAGTTAAATTGAGGAGGGTATTGCAACCATCCTACAAGTGGTTCTAGATTATTTGTATGTATGTCTTCATATTTACATAGATAAAAATCTGAAATGATTTGTAATGAACTTGTGGATTTAGTTTCATATCATAAGCAACTTGGATACAGAATGTAGAAATTGAATTGCCCTTTTATAAATTCTAACATGGTATAGCTAATCACTATCCATCTGTAACTATTTTCATAAAGATGACTGAATAAGAATAAAGCACTTTTTCATTCTTAAGGGCTATAAACAGACATTACAGTTGTTATAGAATCATAGAAAGTTGAGGTTGAAAGGGACCTCAGGAGGTCATCTAGTCAAACCTCCTACTCAAAGCAGGACCACCCCAGCCAAAGCCTTGTTTTAGTTGGGTATTAAAAACCTCCAAGGATGGAGATTCCACAACCGCTCTGGGTAACCTGTTTCAGTGTTTTACTACCCTCATAGTGAGAAAGTTCTTCCTAATATCTAACCTAAACTTCTCTTGCTGCAGCTTGAGACCATTGCTCCTTGTTCTGTTATCTGCCACCTCTTCTGAACCCCATTTCAGGTAGTTGAAGGCTGCTGTTAAGTCCCCTCTGTCATCTCTTCTCTAGACTAAATAAGCCCAGGTTCCTCAGTCTTTCCTCACAAGTTGTGTCCCCCAGCCCCCTCACCATTTTTGTTGCCCTCTGGTGGACTCTCTCCAATTTGTCCACATCCTTTCTGTAGTAAGGGGCCCAAAACTGAACACAGTACTCCAGATGTGGCCTCACCAGTGCTGAATTGAGAGAGAATCATTTCCCTTGATCTGCTGGCCACATTCCTACCAATGAAGCCCAGTTTGCTGTTAGCTTTCTTGACAACAAGGGCACATTGTTGGCTCATATTCAGCTTACTGTCACTGTAGCCCCCAGGTCCTTTTCTGTAGAGCTGCTGCCTAGCCAGCCTGTACCAGTACATGGGATTGTTCTGTCCTAAGTGAAGGACTTTGCAACTTGTCCTTATTGAACCTCATGAGATTATTTTGGTCCAATCCTCTAGTTCATCTAAGTAGCTCTGAATCCCAGTCCTACCTTCTAGCATATCTACTACCCTCCCTCATGCCATCTTCTAGGTCGTTGATGAAGATTTTTAACAAAACCAGCCCCAGGACTGATCCCTGGGTCACTCTACTTGATACCGGCTGCCAACTAGACATTGAGCCATTGATTGCTACCCATTGAGCCTGATGATCCAGGAAGTTTTTTATCCACCTTACAGTCCATTCATCCAGCCTGTACTTCCTTAGCTTGCCTGCGAAAATGTTGTGGGAGACCGTATCAAAAGCCTTGATAAAATCAAGGTATCCCCTGCATCAAGGTATCCACTGGTCTCCCCGCATCCACAGAGCCAGTCATCTCACCCATCATAGAAGGTAATCAGGTTGGTCAGGCATGACTTGCCCTTGGTGAATCCATGCTGACTGTTCCTAATCACCACCTTTTCCTTCAAGTGCTTATAAATGGGTTCTTTGAGGATCTGCTCCATGACTTTTCCAGGGACTGAGGTGAGGCTCTATGGTCTGTAGTTCCCTGGATCCTCCTTTTTCCCTTTCTTAAATATGGGCACTATATTTGCCCTTTTCCAATCATCTGGGACCTTTCCTTATCGCCATGAGTTTTCAAAGATGATGGTTAGCGACTCTGAGGTCACATCAGCGAACTCCCTCAGTACCCACGGGTACATCCTGTCCGGCCCCATGGACTTGTACATGTCCAGCTTTTCTAAATAGTCCCTAACTTGTACTTTGGCCACTGTTGGCTGCAAACAGTGGCAAAAGTAGGGCACTGATTGTGCTGCAGTGTGTCCTACAATGAGGATTGGCTTGCCCACATTTCACCTTTCAAAATGGGTTTGAAGAATAAGGCCCCTGTGTGGTAAGCTGATGATCATGGCCGACAATCAGATGGCTAGACCAGCCCCAGGTCTGGTTGGAGATGAACTGTTTGGGCAGGAGTGCTTGGTAGCTCTGGCTGGACTGCCACAGTGGGGGATTCCTGGGCTGGGAATTGAAGGGTTTTCCCCTGCTGGTGACTTTAAATCCTGCTAGAAACCACTGATCCCCATGGCCTGGTAGTGTACCCAAAGCTGCTAGGCACAGGGTTTTAAATCCCCAGTGAGGGAAGTCCATTAGCTCTGGCTCCCTCCTCTCCCCTGCCACAGGGACATGATTGTAAGCTGGGCTTCAGTGTGCTGGGACTTGACAAACAAACAAAACCAAACCCCACATGTGTAGTCCGGCTGAGCCCGGGAATGCTGTGTCTGCGGTTGACAATTACCAGATAGTTGGGTGTGCTGGGACGTTTAAAAAGCTTTGCACCACCCAGCTGCATCTCGCATACAGGTTTTAGATATCTCCAGTACACAGGTAACCTGGAATTGGGGAGAGGCTCTCTGATCCTAGGCTTCCCATGTGCCAGGAATGTATGATGCACCTCTGCCTTTCAACGGTACATTCAACTGATGCACCATAATCATATAGATGTCTACTGTGATAAAGTGAGACAAACTATTTAATATTATTATTGTGTAGACATTTTGGGGTATTTGTGGCTTGGCAAGGATGTCTATACCCTAACATTTTGTCCCACTATAAAGCTTTGTGTTCCCACAAACATGATGTCAGTTCACAGCCCAAGAGGTATAGCAAAAACCATTTGTGAGATGTTTAGTTCTTCCTACTCAGTTATTACCTTCCTCCATAGGTTTGTGCAGATCCATAGTATTTTGAGACCATACTTCAAGAGAAGGGAAATAGAGCATTCATTTTCTCATTGCATTTCAGTGTACTCATTGTGAAGTACATTATATAATCACTCGATCCTTTTTTAGCTGATGTAACTCAATTCATTGCGCAGCCTCCTAAGTTGTGTTGCCCCATTTAGAGTTAGGACTCCCCAAACCTAATTTTTAAAATTTCTGTTGGGGTGATTTCAAGAATTATTCTGGGCCCATGAAAACCAAAATGAAAAGGGTGAGTGGGAGAGGAATTTCTTCTGCTTAGCATTCTACTTTTTTTCCCCATCGTTATTAGAATTATGGTCAGTATTCATAATCACTCCAGAATTTAGATTTTACTTTCATTAAATAATAATTAGCTATGCATTTTGCTGTATTTTTACTTTCCGGAATTGGGTACTTTCAATTTTAAGCATTTTTTATTTTAATTAAGCATTTTTTCTATTAATAATATAGAAAATCATTTGGGTACATAATCTATTCCTATCTTAATGCTACTAACTGTTCATGAACTGGCAATATGCCCTTTTTCAACAGTATTCAGTGGAAATCCTAAGTGCCTGATGCATCTGAAAAATCATACTTTTTGGTCTTTAAAAAGAGTATTTGCAAGTTGTAGTGCGTAAAATTTAGTACATGGCTGTGAATGTTTGTCCTTGTTCTTATTTTTAAATGCAAGATTAAATTAAAGCAAAAGCTTTGTTATCCGGCACCCATGGGAAATGGGGGGTGCTGGATAACAAAATATGCCGATTAATTGAGAGGCCTGAACAGGCTGCCACCCCTCCTGCCATTGTCGCAGCCACATCACTGTTCCTCCCACGGGCCCTGAGGGACAGGGAGGCGGGCCTCCCACAGCCTGCTATGCCCCGGGCCGTAAGGGCTTGGCAGCACAGGCTGCTTTGCCTTGGGCTGTGGGGGCTCGGCAAAACCAGAAACGCCATGGTGGGCATTTCCAGTTACGCTTTTACCTTACAAGCTGGTATGCCAGTTAATAGAGCATGCCAGCTTATAAGGTGTTGGTTAAGGCAGCTTTTACTGTAGCTGTTTCTAGAGTCCTGCAAATCAGAATATGGGACGCTGCAGGATTCACAAGGGTAAAAATTGCTCCATTTATCAGTCTCTGGTTTAAAGCATTGTGTTTTAACTTGTCTATAAAGATATTATGTTGTTTTTCTAGCACAAACTTTACCACACCTGATTTCTTTATAAAATAGAATAATATGTATATCTATTTCCTTAGGAAATTGTCTCTCAAGTTCCACTGTTGCGACATATTATTACTGTGGATGGCAAACCAACAACATGGGCAGAATTTCCCAAGGGTGTCATTGTACACACTATGGTTTCTGTACAAGCTATGGGTGCCAAAGCTGACAATGGTATGTCATTTCATGTTTCTTGGTGGGGACAGTGGAGGGTGGGGGGGGTTCTTATTTAGGTTGGGAAAATTGTCCTGTTAAACCTGAGTAAAATTAACAAGTTATTCTTCAGAAAAACTTAGGAAAGCATATGGAATTTCACCTTTTTCCCACTTTTTACCCAAGACATTTCACTAAAGTGCGTTGGAGGGACTCTGCATTAAAGCTGTCATTTACCATCTTTAAATTTCATGTAAATTGAAGAATAATTTTGAAGATGGTCATTATTTTTCAGCGTAAGTGAGCAACATGCATTAGTTTAAAATATCCAGGATATTCAGAACACATACTATATTATAGTATATTTTATGGTAAATGACATTGACTAATTCTGTTGTTAAATTTGGGTATAAATGCATGCTTATGAAACCTTTTAAAACCTTAGACATGAAAAATTTTTAGTTATGCTATTGTATTTTAGAAGATATAAAAAATTACTATACGAGTCTCTTGAATTTTGATTTTTATTTCTTCACCAAATTAGAATCGAAAATCTGAATTCCAGTGACATTTATTATCTTGATTTAATTTTAGGATAAAATTCTGATTCTTGGCTCTGAGGAGTTGGTTTATCTCCTTTGTTCATATCTTATATGTTCACTTTCTTTTCTGGCATTTTCCTCTTTTTGTTACAGAATCCTTTTAATAATTAGGTCATGCGAATCCTTATTGGAGTTGTTTTAGGAGGTGGGGTGAGTGGTTAATAGGGCTGTGCAAAGCTTTGTTCCCTGATTTGATTCAGTCCGATTTGGTGGCCAGATCTTCTAATCGAATCGAAGGACCCTTTAATCTCTCCAAATCGAATTGGAAAAATTTAGAGATTCAGACATAGACATGGCTTTAAATG